GCCAGAATGCCCCTGCCACCGAGCAAAGGGGGCCTGCAACCCCGTTTCTTCGCACCCCAGCCGAGGTGGTCTGCCAGCCTGCTAGGGATCGCCGTGCCGAAGCCCAGGCCGTTAGTCCGCCCACCTCCCCGTAGCCTAACTTACAAGCCACCGTCTCCGCCTCAAAATGATAGACTCCAGCCTCTCGGCCTATCTACGGTGGACGACCTGCCGTCGCGCCAGCGGGCCCACGCGGAAAGCAAGCATCGACACTCTTCGACGCCCCCCGCACCGAGAGCCCCAGCAGCAGCCCCTGGAGGTCTCGTCTCTCGGGCATCGCAAGAGAACAATCGGAAGGAGGCCTGCCTACTCGAATGGCAAGAGATCCTGCTTCTGATCGGGTCAGCCTCGGGCCTCCAGTCTAGTCTAGCCAACTCCAAATATCCTCGGGCCCTCCTCAAGAAGAGCCTCGAGAAGTACACAGCCGGAACCCTCGAGAGATATCTCGCGGCAGCCAAGCAATTTCTCGATTTCCTTGGCCTCAGTAATCTGACGGTTCTCACAATCGACGTGGCCTTCCTTGCCGATTTCCTACATGCCTGCGAGCGCAGCCTAGAGGAAGATCGCGAGCTTTGCAAAATAGGCCCGAGACCTATCCTCAAAGCCCTCTCGTGGTTAGGTCGAAATGCTGGTATTGCTGCTCTTCAGCCCCTACTTCAAGCCAGCCTCATCAAAGCATTCCTCACCCAGCCTACCTCTGATCGCAGAGAAGCACTGCCTCTGCCCCTAGCTGTCGTGGTAGAGTGGGAGAGGTACATCTGCAGCCCCCACTGCCCACAAGATCTTCGCCTCTTCCTCGGAGGCCTTTTACTGGCTTTACATGGAGGCCTCAGATTCGGTGACCTACAACGGATCCGCCTCAACAGCCTATCCCTCACCAGCTCTAGCCTACGAGGAGTCTGCTGGCAGACTAAGACCACAAAAAGGGGCCAACCCTTCGCAGTAACCCTACATGGCCTATCAGGTAGGTCTCCGGACTCGCTTTGGGTCCTGCCCTTTCTGCGAGCGATGCAGGCAGCCTGGATAGCTACGGAGTCAGCCATGGGGATGCCAGTTATCACCGACTTCATCCTACCAGTGCTTACCAACCTGGGAGGCCTATCGCGCCCAAGCTCCATATATGCCAGACCTATGGCCTATAGCCAAAGCCTAGCAGCTATGCGACACTTTCTCACCATCCCGTGGCAGGACTCCACCAAGCCGGTCCCGGTGACGTCGGGAGAAAGCCGAGCCTTCACATTGCACAGCCTAAAGGTATGCCTACTCGCAGCCGGCGCCCAGGTCCGGGCCACGGAAGAGGCACGCCAACACCAAGGACACCATAAAAGCCCAAGTGTGCAACTGTACAGCCGCGATGATACGATCCTAGCCCTCGACCTTCAGAAACAAATCTGCCTCGCTTGTGCACAAGGATGGAGGCCGGCCAGACCCATAGCCCGGGGGGGCCAGCCCCCCACTCTGGAGCCTCCTTTCCACGTAGATAGATCGCAACCCAGCCCCGCCTATCAGGTCTCGTCCTTCGGGGAAGGGGTGTCACGGTTTGTCTACTCGAGGGAAGCCGACATACATCGCAGACTCGCCAGAGCCTATCCAAGCACCGCAGACTGACCTACAGCCTCAGCCTACGGGTACACCGATTCCAGCAGACGACACTGAGGCCCTTCTAGTGGAGAAATTCGCCAACCAGGCCCACAGCTCCTCAGAATCCGAGGATGAGCAGGTGGGGGCCCGGAAGTCGGAGGTATCCACCTTCAGCCTGTTTCGCAACGGCCCACGGGGAGTGATCCACGCTTGTCGCCAAGGAGATGAACGAGCGGCATGCGGAGCGTCCAAGACCTCCGCAGCTTTCTCTCCCTCTTGCCCACAGCCTCAGGTTTTCTGCAAGCGTAAAGCTTGCTATAG